TTCCCAGGCTCAGCCCCCCCCCCAATCTCCAGGTATTTCCCAACCCACAGCTGGCAACCCTAGTTGTCACACGTCTGGGTGGCACAAAACTCCCATTGCAAGTCTGATAACAAAATTCTCATATGATCGCCTCAGCTAGGAGGAATTTGCAGTGTGCCATGTGGCCCCCATAGCTGAGAGTGGGATTTTGTTGACAAGTTTCCTGGAAGAAGAAGAGGAGGAGGAGGAGATTGGATTTATACCCCGCCCTTCGCTACCCGAAGGAGTCTCAGGGCAACTTACAAACTCCTTTCCCTTCCCCTCCCCCCCCACCAGACACCCTGTGAGGTAGGTGGGGCTGAGAGAGCTCGCTCGAGAATTGCTCATGAGAGAACAGCTCTGAATGAACTTGTGACTGACCCCAGGTCACACCAGCAGCTGCATGTGGAGGAGCGGGTAATCAAACCCGGTGGTCCCAGATTAGAGTCCGCCCTCCTAACCACTACACCAAAGCCAATCTAATGTTCTTAACCACTCTATGGCACTGTCACTCATGGGAGGAAGAGGGTTTATGCGTGGTAAACACACTCCAGTGTCCCAAGCATCTACATTTGGACATCTTCTTTACTCACTGGGTGTTTAAAATATGGAATTTGCTGCCAAGTGATAGACTAGGGTTGCCAGGTCTGGGTTGGGAAATTCCTGGAAATTCGAAGGATGGAGCCTGGGGGGCGGGGCTTAAGGAGGGGAGGGGCCTCAGCAGGGTACAATAACATGCAGCCCACTTTCTAAAGGAGCCATTTCCCCCAGGGTAACTGATCTCTGGAGGAATGCTGCGGTGGCTCAAGTGGTTAAGACGCTGAACTGCAGGCTGTGGAAGGTCAGTAGTTCAGCAGTTCGAGACCCGGGTGCCGCATGACGGAGTGAGCTCCCGTCTCTGGCCCCAGCTCCTGCCAACCTAGCAGTTCGAAAGCAAGAAATTGCAAGTAGATAAATAGGTTCCACTTTGGTGGGAAGGTAACAGCGTTCCGTGCGCCTTGGGGTTTAGTCATGCCGGCCACATGACCACGAAAACGTCTTTGGACAGCGCTGGCTCTTCAGCTTTGAAACAGAGATGAGCACCGCAACCCTCGAGTCGGATTCGACTGGCTTTCGAGCAAGGGAACCTTTACCTTTTTAACTGATCTCTGTAATCGGGAGATCAGTTGTAATTCTGGATCTCCAGGCACCACCTGGAGGTTGGCAACCCTGTGATGGACACCGGCTTTTTAAAAGGGGGACTGGCTACTAGCCAAAGGGAATCTCCACCCTCAAAGGAAATAAACCTCTGAATAGCAGTGCCAGGAGGCAACATCAGGAGAAAGCCTTGTTCTCTATGCTCTGTTTGTTGGTCACTCTGTGAGACAGGATGCTGGACTAGATGGACCCTCACTGGTCCGATTCAGCAGGGCTCCTCTTATGTCCTTAGTCAAGGAATTCCTAAGGAAGGTGGTCCATTTCCTGCAGTTAGCAAGAAATGCAGAGCAGGTGCTTGAAAAGATATGCCGGCTGGATACAGGTGGGCAGAAATTGATCAAGGGCATCCCCCCCCCCCCCCCCCCCCCTGTCCAGTTTCTTCTTCTCTGAAAAGAAGCACACCTCACCTGTTGGTGGCATTGCATTTCGCCTCTGTTGACAAAGAGACGTTGGGATGGAGGAACTGAGCTCTGCAGAGGAACGTGGGGATCCAGAAGCTCAGAGCGCCCGTGACAAAGGCCAGGACAGTCACACCCAACGAGGACCACACAAAACTCCAGCTGCCAGGAAAAAATGACGGCATTGTTACTATTGAATGCATGTATATCCTGCTTTTCTCCCAGTCAATATGCATGGTATAATAGAGAGTCACAAAGAAGACCATGCGTGAAGCTGCCGTATACTGAATCAGATCAAGCTCAGTGTGTCTACTCAGACTGGTAGCAGCTCTCTAGGGCAGGGGTGTCGAGCTCATTTGTTATGAGGGCCGGATCTGACATAAATGAGACCTTAATATGTTGTCGAAGGCTTTCCAAGGACGTTCATTAGTTGCTGTAGATTTTCCGGGTTGTGTGGCCGTGATCTTGGCACTGGACGCTTTGCCAGTAGCTGTGACTGGCATTCTCAGAGGTATAACACAGAAAGATGGAGTACTCTCTGTGTCAAGGTGAGAGACACAGAAAGTACTCCATCTCACCTTGACACAGAGAGTACTCCATCTTTCTGTGTTATACCTCTGAGGGTGCCAGTCACAGCTACTGGCGAAACGTCCAATGGCAAGACCACGGCCACACAACCCGGAAAATCTACAGCAACTAATAAATGACACCTTGTTGGGACGGGCCATGTGTGTCATAAAATGTAATGCCAGGTAGCGGAGATATAAACTTTATAAAGGACAAAAACACAAAGGTTTTTTTTTTACTTAAAATAAAACATGCTTAAAACATTAGCACTTGCAATATCTTGCTTCGGGAGGCGGAGTTCCCCCCGGGGCCTGATTCCGTGGCGGCGGAAATCGGGCCTCCGAAGCGGGGGTTTACCTGCCCCCCACCCCCAGTTGGCAGCCCTAGGTGAGGTCCCTCCCCTTCCCAAACCCCACCCTCTCCTGGCTCCATGCCCAAAATCTCCAGGAATTTCCCAACTCGGAGATGGCAACCCTACAGTAAATCAACTTGTAATGGCAAAGAGGTTGGTTGTATATCACAAATGGTAGAATTTCACTCCCTGCCTGATCCAGTTGAGTGGTATCCTCCGTTTCTTTCCAGTTGTAGCAGGTCACTTCGCTAATATGAAGCCTGAAGTTATGCATGTTGGCTCAGAGGTAGAGAGGCAGTTTGATGTAGTGGTTAAGGAGGAGGAGGAGGAGGAGGAGGACATATGAACAGTTTCAGAAACCATTTGGCTAGTAGATTTGTTACACATTCTCTGGCAGTTGTTTCTTCTGAATTGCTGAGTTTATGTATTTTTTTTAACCTGATGTTCATTTGCTGCTTTGAACACTTTGTGGGAGAAAGGTGGGCAAAAAAGATCATAACTGAATAAACTACACCAAGAGCAGCGGCGGACTCTAATCTGGAGAACCAATTCCCCCTTCCTCCACATGAAGCCAGGTGGGTGACCGTGACTCAGTCACAGTTCTCTGCCCCAAAAGAGCTAGAGTGTCAGGCTGCCAGCCAATCTTCGGATCTCCTGGCTACACCACACCCACTGCCACACGATAATTAATTAATTAATTACTCAAATTTAAATCCCAGTAGGGTAGCTGCGGTGGCTCAAGTGGTTAAGACACTGAACTGCAGGCTGTGGAAGGTCGGTAGTTCAGCAGTTTGAGACCCGAGTGTGCCGCAAGACGGAGTGAGCTCCCAACTCTAGTTCCAGCTCCTGCCAACCTAGCAGTTCGAAAGCAAGAAATTGCAAGTAGATAAATAGGTACCACTTCGGTGGGAAGGTAACAGCGTTCCGTGCGCCTTGGTGGTTAGTCATGCCGGCCACAGGACCACGGAAACGTCTTCGGACAGCGCTGGCTCTTCGGCTTTGAAACGGAGATGAGCACCGCAACCCTAGAGTCGGATTCGACTGGCTTTCGAGCAAGGGAAGCTTTACCTTTACCTTTTTAGGGTAGCCTTGTTTATCATAGCAGAACAAAAGCGAATCCCTGAAGCTCCGTAAAGACTTTAAGGTGCCTCTGGACTTCTGTTTTGCTTTACACAGATGTAAGTCACACTGGTTTCAGTGACGTTTACTCCCTGAGAAAGTCTGAATGCAGTGGCAACTTTGCTCAGCTCCACTCAGGAGCTTTGGTCTTGCAGGAACTCCCCATCCCCCAAATTAGCAAGCGTAGGTTTGAAGGCCTACAGATGATTTCTGTAAGACAACAGCACCCTCTAGTGAATACCTCTGCTCAGTAGAAATCTTAATATCGCGACTCTAGTACAACACAGCAGCCTGATAGCTCAGCCTGCCCAGATCTTGTTAGAGCTTGGAAACGAAGCAGGGTTGGCAACAGTCAGTACTAGGACGGGAGACCACCAAGGAAGACAGGGGTTGCTACGGGATAGAAGGCAATGACAAACCTCCTCTGCTCATCTCTTATAAGAACATAAGAGAAGCCAATGATGGATCAGGCCAGTGGCCCATCCAGTCCAACACTCTGTCACACAGTGGCCACAAATACCAGGGGCCATCAGGAGGTCCAGCAGTGGGGCCAGGACACTAGAAGCCCTCCCACTGTTGACCCCCCCCCAGCACCAAGAATATAGAGCATCCCTTGCCCCAGACTGAGAGTTCCTACCTATACCTTGTGGCTAATAGCTACTCTTGGACCACTGCTCCATATGTTTATCCATAAGAACATAAGAGAAGCCAATGATGGATCAGGCCAGTGGCCCATCCAGTCCAACACTCTGTCACACAGTGGCCACAAATACCAGGTGCCATCAGGAGGTCCCGCAGGGGGGCCAGGGCACTAGAAGCCCTCCCACTGTTGCCCCCCCCCCCCAAGCACCAAGAATACAGAGCATCACTTGCCCCAGACATACTGTTCTATCTATACCTTGTGGCTAATAGCCACTGATGGACCTCTGCTTCATATGTTTATCCAATTCCCTCTTGAAGCCGTCCATGCTTGTAGCCGCCGCCACCTCCTGTGGCAGTGAATTCCATGGGTTAATCACTCTTAGGGTGAAGAAGTACTTCCTTTTATCCGTTCTAGCCCGACTGAAAAACCCCAGGTCCTGGGGTTGCTATGAGTTAGTTGTGACTTGAAAGCACACAATTATTATTAGTAGTACAACGTACATAAAAACATAGGTGCATAAATGACATGCATCTCATGTCTGTCCCACTCATCCCCATTTTGGGAAAGTGCATCTGGTCCTCCCTCCCTTTTATTTTATACTCACAAGAGCCACCCTGTGAGGTAGGTTAGGATGGGAAAGCCCTGACAGGAGTTGGCCCTTCCTGCACTCTCCGTTTAATCCATGTCCACCACTGTGTCCTCCAAGCAATTCCGTACTAAAATTGAATTCAACCTGCATTTCAATCCAGGGTTTTCCCCCACATTCTGCACTAAAATCGAGTTCAGCCTCCTTTTTATTCCGGGTTTCCCCCCCATTCTGCATCACATTACCTCCCTTCAGTGGTCAGCCCGGTTTCAGCTTGCTGTTGGATGCTGTTTTGCTGTGGAGTTAAATTGCCCTGACTTGAACACTGAGAAAATCCGGAATGACAGGCAAATGCGGAAAGGTCCAGTGACTGGCCCAAGGTCATCCACTGAGTGCATGGAAGAACAGGGACTTAAGCTCAGGCCTCTCCGGTCTTAGTCCACCACTCTAACTTACACTACATGAGTTAACTGCTTCCTTTCAGTCACCAGTCTTCATAAGTGCCTATCGAGCTAGCAAACATGGCTGAAGGTGTTTTGAATTGCAGTAGGCATAAGTAGAGCAGTCAGATCTATTTTGCAATCAATCCCAACTATTCAGTTTTGACCCTTTTAAATTAAAAAAGGAAAAAGAAAACTATGGTCCCGTTCACATGGAGAAGTTGCCGCGCTAAAGACATGGATGATAGGCGGATTTTCGGTGCGCAATCACACCGCAACATCTGGGAAGCATAGTACACCCGTGGCTAACCTGTGGCTAACCCGTGGCTTCTCGCCGAAGATGCGGAGTAAAAAACTACCACTTACGATGTACTAGTTTCCGGAAAACGCAGGGCAAGGGCAGGCGTCTGATCATGTTTCCACTTGAATCCCATCGCATCCGGTGCCCGTCCATGTCCCGTTGCACACCGGATGGGTTTTTTGTGTAAGTCTCCACAGGATGCGCACAAATGATCATGCACATGCGCAAACTTCGGTGTGGAAAAAAATTCCCGTTTGCCATGGAAGCAGCGCCTAGCGATTGCCGGTGTGATCGCACCGTGCCGCTTCTTTGCCGCGCTGCAGGATACCCGTGTGATCGGCACCTAACAGCCTAACCACGGGACCTCGATGGGACATGTGATCGGGCTGCCGCATGTTACTTTGCTCCGGGGCAAACAGCCACGCTCCCCCCTCCCCGCATTTTTTGGCCCGTGTGACCGGGACCTATGATAGTTTAACAAAAGGCAGGTGGGAGAGAGCAATGTGAATTCTTTGCGCTTTTGGGCGAATGTCTTTGGTGCTCTCAAGGCAAGGCAGGTGGTGACAAGAGCAGAGCCTTCTGCAGTGATGGCCCCTTGTCTGAGGATCCCCTTCCCCGACGAGGTTCACCTGGCACCTAGTCTGCTCTTTCCTTCTGATGAAAAGATCTTCCTGCCTGGGCCTTTTGTTAATGTATCTTCATGGGCCCTTGCACAGATCATTTTAGGGCACAAGTTGTTCTGGTGACTTGAAGCTGATTTGCTACATTTTATTTTATGCAGCAGATGGAGCTGCGGTGGCTCAAGTGGTTAAGACGCTGAACTGCAGGCTGTGGAAGGTCGGTAGTTCAGCAGTCCGAGACCCGAGTGCCGCGTGACGAGTGAGCTCCCGTCTCTGGCCCCAGCTCCTGCCAACCTAGCAGTTCGAAAGCAAGAAATTGTAAGTAGATAAATAGGTACCACTTCGGTGGGAAGGTAACAGCGTTCCGTGCGCCTTGGTGTTTAGTCATGCCGGCCACATGGCCACGGAAACGTCTTTGGACAGTGCTGGCTCTTCGGCTTGGAAATGGAGATGAGCACCGCAACCCTAGTGTCGGACTCGACTGGCTTTCAAGCAAGGGAAACCTTTACCTTTACCTTAGCACCTTAGAGGTCATGAGTTTTCAAGAGTCAAATCTCCCCTTGTCAGATAACCTAATGAAAGGAGCTCTGAGCCTCATATAGCCCAAAATTCTTGTTGGTCTCTAAGGAACTACTGGACTGAAATCTAGACCAGTTGAAGGAGAGTTGGGGGGAGAACAGGGTTCAAATCCCTACTCAGCTGTCAAGCTCATCCCTCATTTGGCCTAATCTACCTCACAGGGCTGTTGTGAGAATAAAACAAAGGAAGGGGAAACATGTATGCAGCCTGACACCCCTTGAAGAAATGGAAAGGTAAAAACTAGATAGCAAGGCCATCTTGCTGACTGTAACGACCTTTGACCGAAGAGCTGTGTCATGACCTCGGGGGGGGGGGGGCAAGCCTTACTTTCTGCAAAGGGATGAGACGTCTTTGCACCAAGTCGAATCCTCTCCCTGTCCGCCAGCATTTTCTACCCGCTTCGTAGCTGCACGGTGGGCAGATTCAGGAACCAAGAGGACCAGGAGTGCTAGGCCAACTATTCCCATACAAGGTGTAACCTGCAAAGAGAGAAACAATGAGGAATTTCAGACAGGCAATATATTCCGGAAGAGGAACGGTTCCCAAACAGTTTCTGATCTGTCATTTCAGACAGAACCGTTTGAGAACCGGTTCCCTTCCGAAATATATTTGTCATTTCATACACAATCGCTTCTGTCCTGTTTAGGAAACGGGGCTGAAGCGTTTTACCTGTCAACCGCTTCCAAGTACTCCTCAGTTTCCTCTCCCAGTTCCGATGCACTTTTCCCCGCCGTTTTTCACCCGCACGGCGATCTCCGGCTTTTAAAAAAACGTTTGCTTTATAGCGTTATAGCGCTATAACGCTATAACGGAATAGCATTATATCAATCCCTGGAATGCATGGGGTGTTTTGTTATACTGCTATAGCGCTATAGCGCTCTAAAGCGAACGTTAAAAAAAAAAGCCGGAGATCGCCCGCACGGGCGAAAAACAGCGGAGGGAAAGCGGGAAAAAGCAGTGCAGTCTGAAATGGCAAACCGCTTCAGATCAAGCTCTTTACCGGAAGGAGAAAGCCATGTGTGAAATGGCAGCCCTATACCGGTTTACTCCATGACGGATCATTACCGGCTTGAAACTGGGTGAAACTGGATAATGTGAAATTCCCCAATGGCTGGTATTAATAGCCAAGGGGTCAACATCAGTATACATCCAATGGACATCTTCTGTACACTCCCACCTGCCTCTCAAGCCCTGCTCTCTATGCCACTGCTTTTAGAGGGGAGGGGGGTGGTAACCAGTGTTCCCTCTAAGCTGAGTTAGTGTGAGCCAGCTCACAGTTTTTTAGCCTCCAGCTCACACATTTTTGTCTCAGCTCAGGAAGGACGGCTCCAGAGCAAACTAGTTTCTGCAGTGGCCAAATTGCTCGCTCACAACTTTAATGCCAGGAGCTCACAAAGTAGAACTTTTGCTCACAAGACTCCACAGCTTAGAGGGAGCATTGGTGGTAACTAGAGACAGGGCATTTTCAGTGGTGGCCTCTTGCCTTTGGAATGCCATCCAGGCTTCGCTGTGATCTTTCCCAAAGATTTCAGAGTGAAACAGTGTTGACAAAGATGAAAGAAAAGCCGGGGGGAAACCTGGCAGGTGCACAAACGCACCGTGATGCTGTGGGGAAGCAGGAAAAAAGTGTTTCCCAGAAGCAGTTGAACCTGGGGCAAACCACAAGTGTCTGTTAATAACAAGGTGAAAGGGACCAGTTCCATCACACACAAAAAGGACTCACTCGGAAACCCCAGCTCCAGTGTCCAGTGGCTTGCTCCATGGAAGAAGACATGATGTAACCAAGGCCGCTGCAAGACAGGAAAAGATCAGGGTTTTGCCTCTAGTTGCTTCAGTCCAAATTGTTAACAGGGTTAGAGTTAACAGGTGGGTTGTTGCAACCCAGAAAGGTTAGATGAAGAAGTATGTGGATGGGTCACATTTTTATCCTGCACTGCTCCAAAGAAGCTCAGAGTGATGTGCGTGGTTCTCTCTGAAGACTGAATGGTCCAGAGTTGCATGGGAAGCCTGTGCGGCAATTTGAACCCAGGGTTTGTGTGACCTCGTCTGGCACTCCAGCCATACATCGATTGTGCTGCTTCATTCCAGATCAGGCTGTTAGAACATCTGACTGGTGGTGAATACCTGTTGAATCTCCAAAGTCTCCAAAATAAATCCACGTTTAAAGGTTAAAGTAAAATTTATTCCAAAGCGTTTGAAAGAAGCAGGAACAGTAGAATTGTTAGGAATGGACACAGACCCCAGAGGCTTAAATTGTTCTCCTCTCCTCCATTTTATCCTCACAACGACCCTGTGAGGTGGGTTAGGCAGAGAGAGTGTGACTGGCCCAAGGTCATCCAACTTGTGACCTTTGTCATACAAAAGGTACCATTGTGCGAGGAAGATCAGCAGATCTCCAGACAAATAGCAAAATTCTGCACCTGGTAAAATTTCACAATAAGAAGCAGATCAAGTAGAATCCTCATTTACCTTTGCATGACTCACAAGTAGTTTAGTTTTAAACATCTTATAATTATTTTGATATAATGGACTGTTAAACTTTTCTCCTTTTAACATTTTAATGATTTTAAGGTTATATGTTTATTTTTTTTAACTGAAAGCTAATTTCCTTGTATTTAACGAACATGTAATATTTTGATCAATGATCTTGACTTGCCTATAGTTTCTCCCCCCCCCCCCTGGAAAGCAGGCCCCCAAAGCCTCAGAACTGTTTGTGGATAAATGGTCTTTGACCGCAAATAAACATCATTCATTCATTCATTCATTCATTCATTCATTCATTCATTCAGGGCTCTTTTTGTAGAAAAAGCCCAGCAGGAACTCATTAGCATAATAGGCCACACCCAACAGCAGGAACTTATTAGCATATTGGGCCACACCCCTGACAGCACCACTCATTAGCATATTAGCACCCACATGTTACCAGAAGTGTGGTCATCCAGCCACACCCACCTTTTGCTTTTTATTCTGTTTACCTTGTTTGTTGTCAAAACCCAGGGCCTTTTTTTGTAGCAGGAACTCCTTTGCATGTTAGGCCACACACCCCTAATGTAGCCAATCCTAATGAGTTCCTGCTCTTGGGTGTGGCCTATTATGCTAATGAGTTCCTGCTGGGTGTGGCCAACTTGGGAGCCAGCCGGAACTCCGTTCCTGTGCGTTCCTGCCCAAAAATAGCCCTGCATTCATTCATTCACTGTGCGAGTCATTTTTTTTTTAAAAAAATGTTAACATATTAACATAGTTAACATAGTTAAAATAGTTAACATTACCCGGGGGGGGGGGGGCTCGTCCTGCCAAGCCGTGACCAGGCGCCTATTACCAATGGTCTACTAAGCTCAGTATTGTCTGCTTTGAATGGCAGCTGCTCTCCAGTGTCTCAGGCGGAGGTCTTTCACATCATCTACTACTCGATCCTTTTAACTGGAGACAACCAGGGATTTGGGAGCGAAGGCAGCATGGTATAATCCAATCTCGTCAGATCTAAGCAGGGTCGGTACTTGAATGGGAGAACGCCAAGGAAGGCAATGGCAAACCACGTCTGCTTCTCACTTGCCTTGAAAGCTCCTTGCTGGGGTTGCCGCAGATTGGCCACCTCTTGATGACACTTCACACACACACAACCTGGGACTGAACTTGGTTCCTTCTGCATGCAAAACGGATCCTCTGCCAGCAAGCCGTGGCACCTCTCCTTATCGTGAACACATGGAGCTGCCTTTCACAGAGTCTGATCCTTGGTCTGTCACTGTGACGACCCCTTATCTGGGGAGGTCTGGTTTCCCTTTAAAAGTGTTCTTTATTTTGTTCTACTAGGGTATATCCGGCTGCCACCAGGAAATTTAAGGCTTTCCAAACCTTTTTTTCTTCTACTTTTTCTATTACTGGGTAGGTAGGTCGAGTTTCAGGCTCATGGGGAACTATGTGTTCCTAAGGAAGTATTTATTTCAGAGTTGGCATACTTGAATAAAGAAGATTTATTGAAATAATTCATAAATAAAAGGGTAGAACAATGTAACCAGTAAGGTGAATCTTTTTAACAATTGCTTGGTGTCTCACACAAGATCTGCTCCCTTCCTGACAGGGATTTTTCAGGTAACTTTGTAACACTTTAACTCCAGGACATAGACGTAGACTGTTTCACTCCAGTCTGTCACTCAGACTTTCTTATAACTCTGAACAACATCAACAGACAGCTTAACTGCTTTCACACCGAAATGCTTCTCACTTTTCTCATACGCAGAACTTCTCGCTGCTTCTCTCACAGACCTCAGAACTAACTCTCTTATCAACTGTCTTTATCAGCTATCAAACCTGTAACTGTCTCTCTTGACAGACATACATATTCATCCATTCAGAACCACTTCCAAAACCCCTCCCCCTCTCTGTCAACCACCAATCATACCACGCTTGCTTCTCTCAAGCACTCTCGTCTATTTACCATGCAACCAAACTTTTAAAGAGACACACACACATATAAAACAAGGAATTATTACAGTCACGTTCAGCATTGTCTGCTCTGACTGGCAGCAGCTCTCCAGGGTCTCAGGCAGAGGTCCTTCACATCACCCACGACCTGAGCCTTTTAACTGGAGATGCCAGGGATTGAACCAGGAACCTTCTGTACTCAAAGCAGATGCCATACCATACCACCTGGTATGAAAATACCAACTGTACTCAAAGCAGATACCATACCTTCCAACTGGTATGAAAATGTAGAAGATAGACAGCATCCAAGTCCTGCGGTCTTTCTCAAATAAGTCAGCAATGATGGAAGGGGCGACTGTGGAATAGCTGGCAGTGCCAGCACCCACCAGTCCACGCGAAATGAAGAATAACCAGGCCATCTAGAGGAGCAAAAAAGATGCATGAGAACCTAGAAAGTGCATATTAAGTAATACCCTCAGAGGTCATTTCGGGGGGATCGCGGGGATCACAGTTCCCTCGGGTGAGGTACGGGGGGCGGGGCACACGACGAAGCCCCGCCCCCTGCTTTTGGCCGCCCCGCTTCCAGCCCTCATTCAGCCAGGAGGAGGCAGGAGAAGAGGGAGGGTAAGTTGCTTCCTCCCTGCCTCTCCCCACCCCTGCCTGCCTGGGGCCAGGGAGGGCCTTCACGGGGCTTCCTTGCACTCCCGCCGGCCTTGCAGGTCCACCGCCGGGCCCCTCATGGGGCTCGGCAGTGGAGCTGCAAGGCCGGCGGTGGCGGCCGGGACCGTTGGGGGCGGGGTGTGTGGCCTTATGACACATTTCTGGTGATGTCAGGGGGTGTGGCATATGCTAATCAGTTATGCTAATGAGTTCCCCTAGCTCTTTTTCTACGAAACGACCCCTGAATACCCTCCAGAGTGGGCAAAGGATTTGCTTGCGTTACGGCCGCCACCTTTACTGTGTAATGCTGTGCAGGATTATTCCAGTTGAATGCAATTGGATGCAGTGGGCTTAGACGGGAGGACTGCACTTTCAGTCATTCAGTAGTTCTGATCTATCCATTAAAATGCTTTTATAGGCTAATAAGATTTGCCCTAATGAATTGGTTGGCAGATTTTGGGGAGGGGAGGGGGGGAGGGAATGCCCCAGAGCCCACCCTCCAAAGCTGCCATTTTCTCCAGGGGAACTGGTCTCTGAAGTCTGGAGATCAGGTGTAACTCCAGGAGATCTCCAGGCCCCGCCTGGAGGTTGCAAACCAAAGAGAGAGATCACGGGATGAAAGCTGAAAGGAAACAACCAACTGTGATGTATAGTGCCAAAAAAAAAAGGTTCTTCACCAACATGGCCAGGGTCCGACTTACCTGAGGGACCGCATTTCCCCATATATTCCCCAAAGAGCACTTCGGTCGGGGTCACAACACCGGCTGGTGACCCCGGGCCCTAAGGAAGCCAAGCTTGTGGCAACAAGGGCCAGGTCTTTCTCAGTGGCGGCTCCTACCTGGTGGAATGAGCTCCCGGAGGAGATCAGGGCCCTGCGGGACCTTGTGCAGTTCCGCAGGGCCTGCAAGACGGAGCTTTTCCGCCAGTAGGGCTGCCAAGTCCCCCCGGGGGGCGGAAATCCCCACGCCCCAGAGGCCCGTTCCCCGACGCTGGGGAATCGGGCCCCGGGGGGAACCCCGCCCCAGCGTGCACGTCACAGGAAAGTGATGTTATGACGCCGGGCACGCTGGGGGCGGGGCCACGGCCATACAAGGGAAAACTCTATGGTTTTCCCTTGTATGGTCATGGCCCCGCCCCCAGCGTGCCCGACGTCATGACGTCACTTCCCTGTGACGTGCATGCGGCGCACCGGGAACCACCCCGGAGTCCCCCGCCGGCAAGGTAAGTCGAACTTGGCAACCCTATCTGCCAGGCTTATGAGTAGGAGCCACCACGGCCACTTACACCACCGCGCCTTTTTAGAGAGAGACCACTGGGGGGATTGGGCAACATCTTTCCATCACCCCATCTACGCAAGATGTTAGGAGTCTTTATGTGCATCCGTTGAATTGATTTTAATCTGTTTTAAATCTGTATTTGTATTATGTAATTTTGTATATTGAACGCACTTAGTGCCCTATGTGAGCCGCCCTGAGCCCGTTCGCAGGGAGGGTGGGGTATAAATGCAATAAGATAAATAAAATAAATAATAAATTGTAAATTCTTTTTCCAGTATCCAGTTTACTGGAACAATTCAAACACCATCAACACCAATGAACCATGCATATTAAATCTCATTCTGTGCATATCTTTATCAAAGTGGTAGCGTTGAAATACCTATATAATGTTAATCCATTTGGCAAACACTCTAGTCATATCTCAGTCGTATTCATCATTACATTAGATGTAAAAGTCAGTAGGAAGAGTGGAATTTACATCACACTAATGGATTTGATGAATGTGACTGCGATATGACTAGAGTATCTGCCTGGAGGTTGGCAACCCTAGATGTCCTGGACCCTTACCGACTCAGCGATGAAGGAACTACCAAGAGTAACTCCTGACCAAAGTAATATCCCAGCACCCAGGATGGTTTTCCGATTGTAACGGTCCCCGAGGTATCCAAACAGCGGTGCCGAGAACAAGAAACAGAGGATGAAAACTGCAACGGGAAGAAAACCAGGAGGGGAGGAGATGTTAGCTAGTGATGTCACCAGGGCAGCCATTTTTTGGGGGGGGGATCCCTCTTGACTATGTTCAAGTGAAAGTTTAGGACAGTTTGAAACAGGTTGGCTGCATTCAAGTGAAAAGCAGGTTAATAGAATGGCCAGCTGTGCCCAGCTGTGCCCAGGGCTGCCAGCTCTGGGTTCAGAAATATCTGGAGATTTGAGGGTGGTGGAGCCTGGGAGAGTGGGGTTTAGGGATCGTGGGGACCTTGGTAGTGTATAATGCTATGCAATCCACCTTCCAAAGCAGCCTCTTTTTTTCCTGGAGAAGTGAAATAAATGTTTTAAACAGATAAATATGTGATTCATATAGTCTAGAGGCCAGTTGTAATTCCAGGAGATCTCCAGCCCCCACCCGGAGGTGGCAAGCCCAGCTGTGCTTGGGTTGCAAACTGAAGTCTGAAGGGAAAGGATTAAGCTCCCACAAACATACAGCCTTCTAGTCCTTGGCTCAGCCCTGTGGTTCTTTATCTTTAAAGACCAAACTGAGTCTGCCATGCAGCATCTGAAGAGCTGAGCTCTAGTCCACGAAATCTTATGCCGGAATAAAATGAATTAGTCTTTAAAGTGCCCCAAGAATTCTGTTTCTTGGTTTCTATTTAACATTTATCCTGACCCCGTCCATGCAATACTATAGATTCTTTCAAAATAGACATGACCTCTCTAACCAGCTAGAGAGGAGGAGGAGGAGGAAGAAGAAGAAGAGGAGGAGGAGGAGGAGGAGG